GAGCAAGCTGCCCCCAGCCAACAGGGACACCCTGGCCTTCCTCATGCTGCACCTGCTCAGGTGAGGAGCTCATCCCGGCACAGTCTCCCATGGGTCTGTCCCCATCTCCTGGCTCTCTGCGCACCGGAGCGGGGAAGCCGGGCTGAGGATGAGAGGCCCCTTTGCCGGGCAGCGTGCTCACATTGTCCATCCGCCCTCGCAGGGTGTCGTGCAGCCCCCACTGCAAGATGGATGTTCTCAACCTGTCCCGTGTGTTTGGTCCCACACTGGTGGGACACGGTTCGGCCAACCCCACGCCGCTTGCCATCATGGAGGACACGCCTCGGCAGTGCAAGGTGAGGGGGTCCCCAAGGTGCAGGGTGTACCCCAGGTGCTGCCAGCATCCCTAGCATCCCCATCCTCTATCCCTCCCTGCCCAGGTGGTGGCTCGGCTCCTCTCACTGCCGACTGACTTCTGGCGAGGCTTTGTGGGGACGGAGCAGGAGAACCTGGTGCCGACGCCAGCCCCAGGGGGCGAACGTGGTGAGGCTCAGGAGCCCCAGCCCCCTCCCTGCCCTTGCCCTGTGGCTGCTGAAGGGTCCTGGGTGCCCACAGCTGGGCTGGGGTGTGATGACTGTTCCCCGCTCCAGCCCACAGAGCTGTTCTTCTGCCCCATCGCCTCCCCGGAGCCCAAGCCGGGCCAGCTGAGCCCAGCTGGCACCTGCTGCCTCCCCAGCACCCTGCGGAGCTGTGTGGGCACAGCCACCCGGCCCCCGTGAGCGCTGCCGGGGGTGGATGGGGGGCCCGGGGAAGCTCACTTTGCACCCCTGACTCATCTCTCCCCACGCAGGCAGGGGCCGACCCCGAGGAAGGTGGGTCGGTTCTTCCCTTCCCCAGTGTAGCCTGAGGCAGCCGCTCCCTGGGGGCATGGAGCTGGCACCGGAGGAGGAGCGAAGCCTGCAGGCCTAGGCAGCTGCCTTGTGGGCTAGTGGTGCAGAGCTCCAAGCCCTGCTCTGCCTTCCCGGGGATTGGGGAGCAGGGCTGGCTCTGCCTGGTGGCGGGGACGCTGCCCCAGCACTGTACTTAGGGCCTGGTTTGTATTAAACGTTTGCAGCAAAACAAGCCTGGCTGCGGCTGCTGTCTGTCCCTCCCTGCTGGTGCCAGGGTTTGGGGCTCACTGGCATGACAGAGCCTGGCTGGGCAGCAGACACGGGCTGTACTGACAGCAAAGGTGAGCAGTGCTCTCCAAAGCCCCTGCTTCTGCTGGGCAGGGAGGGGAGGGCAGGCAGAGCCCCCTCCCTCCTGCCCTAGATGAGGCCCTCCTCTCCCTGCCCTGGAGCCCAGGATGTGGGAGGCCCCTCTTTCAGCCCAGATGTTGGTCTCAAGTAATCAGAGCTGCTGCTGCTCAGGGCATGACAACCTTAAAGCATTTCCAGACTTCCTGGCACCTCAGCGGGGGCCCCTTTAACTCCTTCCTCCCCTCCAGCCCCGGCACTGGAGCTGCAAATCCCAAGAAGGGCTGGAATGCATAGCTCGCTCTCCCTCCAAGAGGGGGAAACTGGCTGAGGCTGTAATGGAGCAAGGGCCCAGGAAGGGCTTGTCCCCCAGATAACTGCCCAAGGGACAGCAGCTACAAGGGGAGCTTAGGGAAAAGGGGCCTTACACGACAGGGCCAAGAACTGCCCCAGGGCCGCGTCCAGCAGCTGAGAAACCTTTGTCTGCACTAAAACCCAGGCTAGATATGGGACACGGGAGAAAATTCATGTACAATCCTGAAAGCAAGTACTTTGGCTCAGTTTCCCCCAGCACAGGGGTGTTCACCAGCGGTCAAGGAAACTAGCACATCCAAGGCAGAGGCAAAACTTAAGGCGTTTAATGTGCTTAAAGCCAGGGAACAGCTAATCTCTGCCCAGGACCACAGGAGAACGGGCACAGGAAGGCACAGGGCTGGGAGCAAGGATTTACTGCAAATCTGAACTGGGGTGGTACTGGGTGGAGGGAGAATCCCTAATGCCGTGCCTCACTGAAGGCGAGAGGTGTAATGGGGCCCTTCGGCAGAGCACAGGGCTTTAGCACAGAGCTCCAAAAACAAAGAAGACGGGGAGGTAAGTGGATAAAGGGCAAGTGTTGGTTACCATAGATAGAGCGTGCCAGAATCAGCAGGGAGCTGCCTTCAATAAAAAGTTTTCTGAGACACAGCAAGGCAGGTCTCTTGCCACCTGCACGCATGCAAGTTGATTGCTCCGGTGCCCTGTGGACTTGTCTGGTGCGAGGGGAGACATACAGCGAGCCCCCCCCAACTTACAGCCATGCTGGTGCAGAGGAGGCCGTTGGCCCACCGGGGTGGCAGGAGCCTGCTGCCATCATCCTGAGCCCTGCCTAGACAGCCTGTGCAGGTCTCAGCCTGACGGGAGCGGGCTCGGCAGGGCTGGCAGCTCTCCTGGCTCATACCGAGCCCTTGGGGGCAGAGGTGGTGCTGGGGGAAGGGGTGCTTTTGCAGCTCCCTCCAGGGCCAGCAGCCTGCCTGTCCAACCCAGCCCTTGTGCACCAGTGCCCTTAAGACAGCCTGGTGCTGCTGTGTTTTCCTAGTGGTAGGCAGGAGCCCAGCTCAGGCTCTTGCAGACACGCTGCTGAAATTGGGATCCTCACAACTGGCTCCTGCAGGGCAGGTTGCCTATGCAGGGTGGGCACATTCAAAGCTCCCCAGCCTCTGAGATGGGCCAAGACCTTCCAGGGAGTTGCAGACAGCAACGTTTGCAGAGCAGGGAGAGCCCTGGTGAGTAGTGGCAAGACCATGCTGGTAGTGCCCTTTGGTGGAGAAACACCCAAAGCTCAGGACCTGAGATGTTGTAGGCAGCAAGTGCTCCCTCAACAGCCTCGGCCCCGGGGCTCTCTGCACAGGCGTGCAGCCTGGTGCCAGGGCCACGTGCTGTCCCCAAAGCCTTCACCCTGCCCCTGGGCTTGTCCCTGGGCTGCAAGAGAAGCAGCACGCGAGGCTGATGCTCACCAGCTTTAATGTCTGTCTGGAGTAGGAGTCAGGCACTTGCAGGGCTCCTGGCCTGCACCTACCCCTCTGGGGGTGCTGGAAACCTCCCAGGAGGTGAAACCCCAGCACAGGCTCTTGCTGTGGGGCACAGCAGGGAGTGGGGGGACAAGCACTGGTCCCCCCCCAGCCCAGCGAGCAGCTGACTCACAGGATAATCTGGTTCTTGTAGCTGCGGCTCAGCTCCTTGTGAGGAAGGACGATGGAGTTGAGGATAACAACCTCAGCAGGGATGGTGACACTGCAGCCTGCGGGGAGAGTGTGAGGGGGTTAGCAGGAGGGGAGAAACTCTGCCCCGCTGTGCAGGGCTGGGGCAGCCGGGTGCGGGTAGGACGTACCCAGGATTGTGATGGATGGCGTAAGGCGCCCGTCCCGGAAGAGGGTCTCACTGTCAATCTTAGCATAGGGATCATTAGGGTTGGGGTCACTGGGCGTTCCTTCAACCCGGGCCCAGCGCCCGATGGTGCTGTCCCAGCCCACAATGGTATTGAGGACACAGGTGTGGTCCTGGCACAAAAGAGAGGGGGATGAAGGGTGCTGCTGCCTCCCTGCAAGGGGTGGGGGTTGACACCCACACCCTCAGGCAAACCCTACTTACGTGGAGTGAAGCGCCGTGCAGGACAATGGACTCTCGCACGCGCACACCAGCTCCTACCGTCACCCCCTCCCCAATGGAGACGTTGGGGCCCAGCTTTGAGGAGAGAGGGAGGCGATAAGGCCAAGGACAACGGCACCCACAGCACCACCGAGCATCACCCTGCTGCAGGGTCCCCCAGGCCTGCACTCACCACTGCAGTGCTGTCGATGGAGGCCGTTGGGTGGATGTACACGTTCCCTGCAACACAAGGCAGCTGCGTCAGGAGAGGCAGCTCGCAGGAGCACCGGGCTCTCAGATCGGGGGAAGTCCTGCCCACAGGTCCCACTTCCTCCCAAGGCAGCCCTGTCCCCACACGGGGCAGCCCCCAAGGCAGCAGGGGGTATCAGAGGGGTACCTCGGATGACAGGGCCTTCAGGCTTGTTCTGGGCCAGCCTCTCCGGGTGGCTTTTGCTGTACTGGTTCAGGTAAAGGCGGCTGGCATAGATAGCAGAGCTAGGGAGGGAAAGCAAATGAGTGTTATTACGTCTCCAGCACTACCAGGGCAGAGAAGGGTCTGAATTCAGCACCCCCACCCCCAGGGCCCTGCCTGGGCACCCTCCTCTCCCACCTCTGGTATGGACCGCTCGATGCCCCTGCAGCGCCAGCTCTAGCCCCAGCCCTTACCCTGCTGATTTGATCTGGCTCCAGAAGCCATCAGTTTTGTAGACATAGAGTTTGCCACTCCCAGCTAGCGCTGTGAAAACGTCCTGCTCTAGCCGGATCACTTCTGCACGCTGCCAGCCGTTGGAGCTCTCCTCTCTGCAAGCGAGAGGCCTGTTAGACACCCACCCCAGTCACAGCCTCAGCCAGGGACCCCGGCAGCTACCCTCCCCAAATCTGGGGGCTCTGGTGATCCTGGACTCCTTCCTGGCCATGCATTTCTCCCCAAAGGGGGGGATGGCCCCAGCTGTCAGGCTAGGCCTGCCCAGCCCTGCTGAGCCCCGGAGCAGCAGAGGGATGGGGCTCTGCCAGCTGAAACAATCTCTTAGCCAGAAGTTGATGGTACAAGAGCCCCATCCAGTCCAGGTGGATATACGAGCGACGGATCCTGCCCCCGCTCCAGAGCCCTGCACAGCTGGATTTTTGCTTGGGTGGTGGCAGAGATGCCAGGTGAGAGGCTGCTGGTGCAGAGAGCTGGAGGCAGGAGCAGAGCATTCCCAGGTGAAAGGCTTGCTCAGTCCCTTGTCTGGAGCTCAATGAAGATGGGGTGGGAGGAGAGGAAGGGAGAGGGGGAGTCTCAAGCTGGCCAGGAGGGGAGCAAAGGAAAGAGCAGCCTTGCAGAGCAGCTTGGAGCAGGGAGGAAAGCATGCGTTACCACTAGGGACGATCCAGCCCGGAGAGCAGCCAGTGCGGACACAGAGGGAGACTTACCCAAGGTAAGGACAGCTGGTGCAGGACCAGGAAACAAGTGAGTGATGGCAGAGGAGAAGAGAAGATAGAGAAAGAATGGAGGATGAGCGTGCCGCTGCAGCCCTGGGAAACAGCGGGGTGGGAGGGACGTGGGGCAGAGAGAGGCACTCACAGCACTAGCTCCCGCTGGTTCCTCTGGAAGACCTCGCCAATGTGCTGGAAGATGGCAGGTGTGAACAGGTAGATGCCGCAGTTAATGATCTCACTGACAAACGTGCTGGGCTTCTCCACGTAGTGCTGGACCTGGAGACGAGGGAAGCGATGTGAGTCCCAGGGCGCAGCCCCCACGCCTGGCGTCACACCCTGTGGCACGCTGGGAACACGCACCCACGCAGGCAGCGCAGCACCTGCTGCCCACGCCGTGCCCGGCTCCCCAAGGCCTTCCAGTACCTCCTGTGTGTCTGCGTTTGCCACGATACAGCCATAATTCAGCGCCTGCGTCCTGTTGGCCTGTGGAGCAAGGATGTGTTAGCAATGGTGGAGCAGAAGGCATGCAGATGCAGAGCAGATGAGACCCGGAGCTCGCGCCCAGGGACCCATCCACCGCAGGAGCCACAGGCTTCTAGATGAGCCCATGGCAGAGCACCGCTGCTCCTCTGCTCCCCAGCACTGCCACTCACTGTGGTACCCAGAATGACAAAGCTGTGCGCATCCCCGTGCCGCTGCCGGAACTCCAGCATCTCCTGCAAGGGGAACTCTGAGCACACATCTGCGTTGAGGACAAAGAAGGCCTCAGCACCACCCGACAGGATCTGGTCTCGGAAGTGATAGATGCCACCACCCGTGCCCAGCGCCGCGTACTCCTGGAGATACCTGCGAGCCAAGCAGGGAAAAGCGAGGGCTTAGGGAAGCGGGGGTCTGGTGGCACCACCTGGCAGCAGGGCGGGGAAGGGCTGCAGGGGCTG